TTTTCCACTCATCAAGGGCACCTATCCGGTATGTGTGTATGGGGGTGAGTTTTCGTACCAATTTAGCACATTGCGGGCTGATTCCAGCTCTTCTGTACAATAAAAGATAAAGTGGTGCCGTATAGAAAAAGAGTAGAGATAGAAGAATAAGACGTTACTAAAGGCTATTCCCTGCTAGCGTTATGCTATTCTGAAGCATTCTTGTGGCAACATACTCTCTAGCAAGGGGATTTCACCCACTGAGTGAATCTAGTTTACTTCTTGGGTTGCTCAACTGGTCGAGGTGGTTAAAGACCGAAGTGCAATGAAGCATAGTAATTCGACGGCAGAGTTGCCAAGTCCAGAGTGCTGAACGAACAAATCATCAGTCATGGTATCTCAATGGTTGGCGATTTTTTTACAACTCACTCGTTTAACGTTTTATGAATTATCGCTATAGAATTAACCGGCGGTGTAGTTGTATCCGACATAAAAACAGATGGCACGTAACTTGTTTTCTCACATACTGAGGGTGCAAGTAATCATCTTACGGTTACATACAGTAAAAACGTTCACGAACTTCACCTTTCCACGCAACGTCACCTGCTCCAACAATCTTGCTGGAAACACCCATGATTAACGTTTGACATGAGTGGCCTGTTTGCATATGAAACGTCTCCTGCGTAAAAAATAGTGTGTATCCAAGATATTTTCTCGCAGAATTAGTACTGTGCCTGGTAGCTCTTAGTGAATGTCAATGTTTTACCAGCAAACAAAGAAGATTTTTAGGCTGGAGATTTGATGCGGAACAAATGTTGTTTAAATATATTGGTTCCGTTGTCAAAAGTGTCATTATGGTTGAAACCAAATTTCACCCTTCTTGTTCGGTTGTCCTAGAGAACGATAGCTCACTTATTGGGCGAATGAAGCAAACTAGCTAAAGTCCATTCGTCTACTCCTCAAACCAAAATTCTACTCTTGGACCAATAAACTTCAATCAGGGTGTACACCATTCCGTGCTCATGAAGTCTGCCGTTGCACAAATATTCGCCACACTATGCAAATCAGCCCACTCTTTACCTACCAGAGTGCATACACTAGCATATACTACCAAAGTGAAGGTTAGTAGGACTTACTACATAGACAATGAGATCACTGGATCAATAAAATCCATCACTTCTATCTACTATGATCATCTGAAGGTCACGAAAGTACTTCAAAACGTTGTATGAACGTACATGAAAGCCTTTGTGGAAAACGATAAATCGTCACATATCAGAACGAATTTTACATAACCTACTAACTAGCGTTTTCGTTTATAAGTGAGTGTCTACGATAAGAACTTGAATGTATTTCGAATGAATATCTATCCTCAAAATCTGGCTTCGAAGCCTCTTAAAGTGATAATAGCCGTAAAACTGTTTTATTCATCGCCATGTAAAAAATCTAAAGGCGTAGTGAGGCACTTGGTAAAATGACCATGGATTATTTCAGTTTGATTGAATGATTCAAATGTAAGGCAGTTTGTTTGGTTTTGCAAACTGGGTTGCAGTCGTGAAAAGTTGGCCCACACTGCTCCATTGATAGAGACACAAGTGTAAAGTTCGATGGTTGTGCCTCACTTATTACTTGGATTCTGCCACACGATTTGACAAAACTCAATTAGTTTCGAGCTTCAACTGGGCCTAAAAATCATTATCACCCAAAGAGAGGACTGTTCTGGAGATTTTATTTTGAGAAAACGAGCTAGCGACAACTGTTCTGGAAAGTGGTTTCATTGTGCCATGTTAAAATTGATATGGTAAAGTATGTTTACGAAGTACTATGCCTCTGCATTCCGTTTGAAATTCTTCACATGTTCACTTAGCACAAAGCTCTTCTTCTGGCCACATTGAGCTAAAATATTCACGCAACTATCGTAAACTGAGAGATTGGCTGGAGGTAACTGACTAGTCATTGTGTTGCTGAAAACTGTTCGACAGCCCAGGGCCGGTTTCATACGTCAACAGATAGATTCAACCCCCAAGATTCTGTCGCCTTGTGTTCCACTTGGACCCAAGTTGGACAGAACTTGTCAACTAATTCAAGTCATAAATTTGGTTTGGACCGGAGATTCATCTAAATCCAGACGTGATTCACAAGCTTGCCCCTTTCCAGGCGAATTATTGTACAAACAAAAGTGGGAAGGGATTAGCTACTAGTGTTTCTGAAGGGACAATTTTACTGAAATACGTGTAATCGGATTTTGACTAGGACTGTTTTGCTGTAGTCGGAATAGTAACAAATAAAAGAAACTTGTGAGCAGAAGTCAGACCCGTACATCATGTTTGTACACGGATGAATTTCCATGGGCTTGCCAATTCATACTCTCGAGAAATTGTCTCGTTTACCTGAAACTTCAGGTGACCAACTTCCTCGGGACTTCAAAGTACCAAACTTCCAGATAATCCCAGATAATCATAGACTGCAGTAGGTCTGCAGTGAGAGATATGTGACTGGACGTTCGTAAGTTTGAGTCAGTAATTATCTACTATTTCCAATAACAGATTCAACAGCACAACCATATCTTCAGCAATTCACAGGTAACATGTTGTAGTTGCCGAATATTAAGATTACAATCATGTACATGATCACATGGTTAAATTAAAATATATCAATTTCGATTGTTTCTGTTTGAGTCTAGTATCCAACTCACACGAAGCGTATCTGACAGCTCACAATATAAACCACTATACGACAAGCAATACTTATATCGCAGAGCGTAAAATAGATCAGTGGTTAAGGCGCGAAAATTGTTGACCGTGATATTCGTTCTCTCAAGCCAAACCCTTGTACTTTGACTGTCTCCAAATAGAGTTGGAGAAACTGGCGGTTTCTCAGTTCTGACGCTTCTTTCGGATGGCATGACAGCTAGGCATCAGGAGGATGCTACTGCAGAGCGAACTCCAGAACAAACTGTGAGTGACACTTAATAGCGTCCCTTAACTCCTCAAAGTTTAACAAATGGTTCCTGACGGGTGCTTTCACCATGTTATTCCCCCCGTAATTCGGGTCTTTGCTTCAACAAACTTCCCTAGCAATCAGTTGCAAGTCTATTGGCCTCTTGGTGCCAATTCAGTTCACATAACACCTACTGGAACCTACTTAAACAATCAATTCTATTCCATGGTCTTTCGTTTTTGATTGATGTCTGTACAACAGAGGAATAATTTATGCCTAATCAAACATAGATTGTGTGTGAGCGCTTATAAGTTTTTTCTCCTTTCCTGGTCTATTGGCAGATTATCATTAGCTTTTTTATGAGAACTAATTGCAAATGGACTAAACTTGCAAATGGACTGGAAATCAACTAATAGAAAGAAGACTCCAAAGAAACAAATCAGTGTCAATCAGGGCCCAACACTGATGCCTCGAATGTGTATCCAGTACTGCGCGGTCCGGCATCACGTTTGCTTAATCGCAGTGTTATTCGAAAAATGGAATAATCAGCATTCCACACCACTATAGCCGCCGCGCAAAAACTAGTCTTGTTTTCAAAAGTGGGCAGTGTGAATGCGATGGCACCACATTTGTAGGCTGACTGCTCTTGAAATTAGCGCACGGACAGACAGAACATAGGTGAGCTTTACACCCAATGTTTATAAAGAACCCGCTAGGTTGAAAACCGCAACTCTTTCGGCTATTGATTGAATCTGTACCTGGGTAAATTCAGTTATTAGAGCTTAATTCTAGTCTGGCTAAAGTATAATCTAAAGCAGCAGCTAAAATACCGTAGCCTGACTGTGTGCAACCTCGCCCGGATTCCAACAAACTGCATACGTGGCATGGCCTCCCAACTATACGCTTTGGTCTACGAATTTCGGAAATTTAGAAGTCGGTTGTCAAACATAAGGATAAGACACTGTGGACCAACTAGTAAAGTGCTACTACTGAGTTCACAAACAACTGGATGAACATTGAAACTTATACAATGTTACAAAATTTACACTTCTTTATTGTACCCGGCAGCTGAGGGGCCGAAAAAATTTGGCATGAATTTATAACAGGGAGTCAACTAAAAGTAGGCCATTAAAAGTGTTCGTAAAGGGTTATGGGCTTTTTCCTGCTGGAGGAAAATATATTATACTTATCTCTGTGTTGTTAGTTAAAAATAAATTTTTTGCGATGGAATACATGTATACACCTGGAAACAGAGGTGAAGAATTAGCATGGGACAACGCCATACGGGTACGAGTGTATATTGTCTTCTAGATACTTGACATTGAAATGCGGAATAAAACATTCCACCATGGTGTTTACATTCGGGAAAATGTCATCCGTAGGCATGTCACGTAGACATTCTATCACGCTGGGTTCAACGACGAGAATTTGGTTGGTTAAGCTTCTCGTGTATCAGAAAGTGGCCAGTCTTATTTTGTTCATATGGTACGCGGGCATCTCCCGAATAAAACTTCATGTATCCCATTCGTATGACGCTAGATCGACCTGCATTGAAGTGAGTGATCGGCAGCGTTTGATATGATTCCTGGTTAGTTTGCACTGTCGGGTTGGCTCTGTTGTGATAAGCTGCTTCATTCCATCCACTATTTAAGCGATAGTATGACACAACTGTGCCCTTCAAATATGGGAACAAAATTCGACGAATCTCTTCACTTTATTCTCCAGTGTTTTCATTGGGTGTCTGAAACAAACCTCTAGACTTTCATCAACTATGTAAACTCTTCAAAAAACATTTCACTCAACGGTTCCTTTTTCCATATGGTTAAGGTAGATATGTATTAGTCAGATGTCCCCTGTCCATTCTTGTTTCAAATTTTCCAACGGCCAGTAACTGCCGGATTTGTAGACATCAGTTCTCTTTAACCCTCCAATAACTGATTATTATTATGATTTTTTGATGATTTCTTACGAAACATCAAGCAAATTAAAGTGAATGTATTTATTTACTACAGCTTAAGACAATCGCACCAATGTTATGGCAAGTGTTGTGGCTGTTCATTCCTTGTACACCTACGCCATCCATGGCATCTAAGCTTCCTCATGTAGGCTTGGGAGCCCTTAAAGATGGAGATCTGCCGTCGGGAATGAACCTGCAAAATGTACATATCCTATTCCGCCATGGCGACCGGACTCCACTGGGGGAGCTATTGAACGACTCCATGCCGTTTGAAAAGACTTGGCCTCTCGGTCGTGGCCAACTGACTGACGAGGGTGTATTACAGGGCTTCAAACTTGGGATGTGGCTGCGTCAGAAATATGACTTCTACCTCAAACAGCAATACAATGCTTCCGATTTTTATATGCGAAGCACTGACTATGATAGAACACTTATGTCTGCCCAGGCAGTAGCTGCAGGACTCTATCCACAGAAGTCCTCGCCCTTGGAATCATACGGAATTCAGTGGAAGCCTATTCCTGTGCACACTGTTCAAAAGGTAAGTTATTTCTGCATAAGGCAGATCGCAAACAAACAGATGAGATTTACGATACGTCTTAGTCTTATGTTACTAGTTATAAAAATGTATGACTATAGTCTACTATGAGGGACCAGCCGAAGGCCGTGAGATTACGTGCCAGCCTCTTCCCAAATGTACGAAAATTTGTGGATTCAAATAAACATGGGCTACTTTACTGCTACTCCACTTACCAAATCAGGCCCCAGTTGGCAGTAAGGAAGTGTAATCAGTAGCGTTTTTCCTATTGGTTTGGGTGTGAATTCTCTGTGGAGATTCGCCAAACAGAGCACCTATGGTATGGGAGTATGGCACTCAAGCTGTTTTAGGCAATTGAGTTTTCACAGCTGGGTAAAAATTTACATAGCTTTTTACAGCAGTATTCTGCAAGCTGGTTTATAGACATAACAATCTAACCTAAATTTTTCAATTGCCAATGGGCTGTTTGACTTTTGACGATTCGTGTCGTGAGTAAACCTTCAATCCAACTTTTCAATCCACTCTGCAGGATCAAGAAACTTTACTTAGTTTGTCAACCTGCTACCGATTGGGAAAGTTACAATATGAAGCATTGACCTCAGAGTCTGTGGACAACTTTACGGAGTCCCATAGATTGCTTTTCAGTTTGATAAACAACAGTCCCGTTGAAGTGAAAATTGATCGATTCAATCTTTGGGAGCTAGTAGACTTGCTTATATGTATGAGAGCCAACAACGAACCATTTCCTGCTTGGTGCACGGATGACATTTTCCAGGAGATGCGGGAAGTATCAAAGTACTTTTGGTTGGTAAGTCATCGATTCACACTCTACACAGGTCACCAGTTTTAGTGTCGTCATTGTGTTTATGTAGGGAAGTTAGTAACTCAGCACCACAAACGTTAAATGTAAAATATTTGCCCATGTCATTTAAATCTGAGTTCACTCCCTTTGTGCTCAGTATTGAGTAGCAAAACATCGTCATTTTTCAATTCGGTTCTGTTTTCTATCGCCACTTGCTCAAGAAATGCTTCATGAAACAGGCATCATAATGCTTTGCACCTCGATTTCTCGCAACCACTTGGTTATTTTCTGAGCTGCTGAGATGGGTTTTAAAAGCACTGGCAAACAAATGCAAGCAAACACCCAGGAGGCGCAGCGTGATTAGTGGGAAATTCAACAAAGTGTGTTAAAGAGTAATGTCTATGGTCAATCCTAATGTAGTCCACTTCAAAAGTAGTACAACTTAGAGTTTCAAGCTTGCTTAGCCACTGGTTTCATGAAGTTCAATATATTGGTTCAAAATGTTATTTACAGCGTACGCCGTAACATTAATGCAATCAGACCGATATTTACGTGCTAAAATTCTAGGGTGGCAGAAGGATTCCAGGTTTAGTGTACTGTAAACAGTTTCAAAAGTAGTTCTGTGTGACAGTCCCCAGAAAAAGGCCAAGTACGCCAAGCTCAATCAAACTGAACGATTTTCCAGCGGAGATGTACGAACTTGTCCGTATCGTTCCACTGGGTTAGCGAGAGAAAGATGGATAAAGCCTGGTACACAAGCACGAATCCAAGTTGCAGCCGAATCATTTAGAAATAATTACTGCCTTTATATCTGGTACTTATGTTCACCATTTCCTTATGTGACTGAACCGTCATTCGTTACACTTTTACGATGTATTTATTTGCAGTCTTTCTGTAGCGGTTTTATCATCTGCAGTAATGACTTGATTCAAACTTGTTCCCACTTACATAACAAGATATGAACCGGGGAATTACGAGATCAAAAAGGCATCTTCAATAGATATCATTCATCATTCCGGCATCCTAACGAACATTATAGAATTTATGTTTGGTATCAATTTATTGAGCACTGTCAGATGAATGATTTTTTACTTTGACACAAAGTAACGTGCACCCTGTCAGTATAAGAAGCGCTGCAACTTTTGATGGTTCGATCATGAAGGTTATAGCGGTCATCAAAGCGTGCTGATGCACCTAGGCTTATTTCAGTTGTACAACAGATGGCTCGAACCATGCGAATGCATGCATAAGTGGAACTAAAAACACGCAGTTATTTATATGAGAAATCAAATGAATGATATAAGCTGTAGAATACAACTTTCTCGAATTGACTTCAGCATAAAGAGCCTTTACCCTGACAGGCAAATGAAGTAACATGGCGAATATATGTTGAACCCAAGCATACAGTCCACCTTTATTCACATACCAACGGCAACCGACTTAAATACCTTTCAGGAGCAATGTGCACAGGAATTGTATTGGGTCTCGTTATTATTGACTCTGTGTAATTCCCAAAGTTTAGGAGCACATTCACGAATTGAATAACACTTCCAATCGTAGAGATCAGGCAAGATGACACCCTTTTCTCTAAGTCCTCAGGTTTTTAGTAATCCATTACCTGAAGTGCTAGGTGCGTGCCAACTACAAGGGTTCATGCACATCCGCTAGTTTACTTTGTCTAAATTTTGAACGAACATCAGGGAATTCACAAAATGAACTAAACTCAACCTCGGACTTCCACGGATTCTGGAAACACGTATTAGAGATTAGGCCGTAAGCTAGAAGTACATTCTAATGAAAGAGTGGAAACTGCAAGGAGTGTCATCATAATGATGATCCTCCAATATTGCGGTGCGGAATATCGAAGCCGAACTGTCAAGCTCAACTACTGCAGACATAAGGACAACTTATATACACAATTTTTGGAAATTTTTCTCTCAAAATATTTTCGTTCCCTGCAAATGAAACAACATGATACAATGTATACAATGATTCAAGAGAGGGGTAAATATCCAAATTTTGGGAATCCTCTTCAAGTAGGGCGAGAGTTGTCCTGTGCAGTAGCACGTTTTGTGCGATGTATGGAATTTCTAGAGAAAAGTGATTTGCAAATGCTTCAAAATTATAGAAGCAATGCCTGACAAACAGAACTTAACAGTAAGTGATTGTTACGGAAATTCGCGAAACGGCCAGTTCAAAGCAAGCTATATCCTTCAAGTTTCTGTGTCTTCTTTTCTCAGTTTGGCTTGTGGACAATCTTTGTGGAATCAGAAATCTGTTTTCGACGACATTGTGGAAGATTATGCCTCGCCACTAAGGCCAATAGTTATGAGCGACTTAACTTTTGTAAATGGCGCCTTTTAACATTTTCCTCACCTTTAAATTTATATCTTCTCATGACGATCCTAAGCACCGCACTGCATTCTGGCCTAGAATAATCATTATTAGGGTATTAACTTGAAAGGGTTTATTGTAACTAACATTATAGGGTGAATAAATTGCACTAGGTAGAAAAAAGTATCCGAGTGTACAATTCAAAGGAACATTCTCTTTTAAAGGTGTGAAAGAAACTCTACTGATAGTTGAATTTTAAGGTTTTGCAACTAGATGCGTCGAAAAAATATCCTGATTGCCTCTGATTTTTGCAACACAGGTCAGTCTCTTCTTATATTCTTTTGCATGTAATCATGCCCACAGCATGTGTGAAGTATGCTTCGTATAATGAACTGACATTTTAAAAAATCAATGTTATAACATGGCCTGTCTGTTTCTGTTCCACGTGGGCTACGTTGTTCATCATATAATATCATGATTTTACTCATATGTCACTCATGGGTCATATGCTATTAGTCTGATACCTGTTTCTCTTGGTGCTTACAGGTGATGTCCAGAAGCAGCAATGAAATCCTCCAATTGGAAATCGGAGTGTTTTTGAAAACTTTTATTCAGCATCTAATGGCCATTACAAGTGGTGGCAGTACAGTTACAATCAACGGACGTCAGCTGAAATCGCAACATACTGTGATCTATTCTGCTCATGACAACCATATAAGTTATATTCTGGGCGCCTTCGGAGTGATAGCGGACGAAGAAGTACCATATTCTAGTGCTATTGTATTCGAACTCCTTGGACCCGAACCACCTTCTCCCGTTGAAAGCTACAGATTACGCTTGCGCTACAAACAAGGACATTTGGATGAAGTTGGTGTATACCCAACCCTGAAACCGTGTGCTGGTCAGCCGGGGGTTGAAGGATGCTCACTAAGTTTGGTGCTGGAACATCTTGAACCCTACTGTTTGGATGAGGAAGTGTATACTGAGCTGTGCCGCGAGCCATCTTACACTGATGTTAAACTTTCGTAAAAATTCAAACAGAAAATTGAGTTGTCTGTTTTTTTCACAACAATTTTTTCATTACTTTGCTCACTTTTGCAAGCATGTTTTTAAATCAGGTTGACATTTTGTCTGAAATTATTCCTTCGCTTGCTTCCCCTACTCCAGGGAGCTTACTTGATGTGCTCTCAGTGGCTCGCTGATTTTGTCAACAGAGTTTGCGACCTATAGCTCTCAGAGCCGTCTCGGATGAACATACCCACCTACCAGTTACCTGGTGGTCCTAACGATATTATCAAAGCGTCCCAACAGATTTCCCAAATGATTTCCGTCCATTTAGTGCATTCCATTTTCCTTTTGTATTCCCAGACAAACGTCTTGATTGATTTTTTTACCGAGCACGCCTTTTATCATGCTGCCAGATTTATTTTACCGGTTCGTGCGAAATGAATGGAGCTTGCCTGGGGAAGAGCAAAAAATGAAGAAAGATGATTTGGCCATTTTTAATCGTTAGAAGTTTGCTATCCGCTTACTCATAATGCATTGGGTTAAGAAGTAGGAGAGGTTTTGAGGTAACGCTCAGGTTAGTAATTTTTAAAAAAAATCATGCACCCTCATAAGGGACCCGGTAATGAGAATCAACTGCTTAACCACTTAGTATGAAATGCAACTAAATAGATTTCCCAAACATTGACGCATCTAAAAATGTTTTATCATTTTGAAGCTCACTTAATAAGGTTTGCCGCGTGACCGTTTGTTGTCTGTGAACCGATCGAGTTTGGGAAGATATTTACAGAGGACCATTTTTCAGGGAACTTGGCTGGTCAGAACAGTCATTCGGTTTACCTGAACTAAAATCACCAAGAATAGGTCATGTGATTTCAATTCAGACAAAAACTTCAAACAAATAAGTCTCCTTAATTGATGCACAATCAACGAGCTGGAATGCTTGATAGGTCGCACAAGCAGGTGCGCTAACTAAACAGCGGCATACTTGAACAGTTTGGATAAATTACGCTGTGCTTTTCCATGAAATCACTCTGATCATTTTGAGCTCCGGATGGCCGTGTTCTACACAGAGGTAATCAAGCTCGTGCGCACTCATGCATCTTTTCTCCAATCCTGCAGCTTGAATAACATGAAAGTGTTCTAAGTGGGTAAGAAGGTAATCCATGAATCCTTGCAATGTGATAACGATTGAGGCCATGGATTCCATGATCATTTGTAGTCTCAAATTGACAATAAAAGGCGCTAATATGTGTTCACGATGTTGTCTTGTGCCAGGTGAGATAGATGAAAATGAAAATGGCGCAACAAATAACCTGATGCACGCAGTGGGTAAAGACTCATAGCCTGGCATGGTATATTCAAGTTTATCAGACACCGAATTAGACACCTAGAAAGCCATGTGTCCAAAAGCCCCGTCCCGTTGTAGTATACCTTAAAAGGAAAAGCTACCGGCGAACATTTTCCGCAAATGTTTTTTGATACTTTGGAACTACTAGCGCATTCTCTTTAGGTTAGAAATCACTGTTTTAAACTAGGAACGGAAATGTGTTCTACAATGAGCCTTACTGAACTGTTACTGGCAGGTCCACAGTATGTAGAACAGATTGCGCCACGTGACAAGTTAGGTCTTTCTAAATTATTTTGCCTCAAATGAATTTGACGGTTTACAGTTGGTACAACATCCAACTAGAGTTTTAAGCGACAATTTCATTACCCCGAAAAGCTTTACTAGTGACGGTGGTGGAAAACGCAACAGTGCTTCATTTTCCATTAAACGCCCTAGTTTGTAGAAAACCCCATAACTTTCCGAATATGTTATACAACCCAACAACGTCTGGCTGGGCGATTTAGTACTACTCCGTGGAAAACATAGCGTATGCTTGCAGCCGTTGTATTTATTAAGAAGGGACATAACCAGCTGGTTGAAGGGGTCAGTTAATTTGGTGGAAGGTACTATAGATATACGGTTATTGTTTGCTGCTACTTGTGAATGATACTGTACATCCGATTCCTCTTTTACATGACGATTCAAAGAGCTTTCTCCAAGGTGTAATCATTGTGACCCTACCACAAACAACGACCCTACCACACAAATAACGGATTTATGTCAATGTCATTCGCCTGCACAATCCTGTATGCTGATAACTTATGTGACAAAAATGAAAACATTTTGTAGTGTTTCCAGATTTTTGCAATGGGAGCACATCTACAGTATACAGGGAAGGTATCGCCAAGCATCCCAAAAAGTTCCACAATACTCAAAAGTTCGGCAGCCTGATTGGACCACCAAGTATGATACACACCAAAATAAAAGGGCACTTCTATTCTAGAAAATACATTCGGAATTACCAAAATTTCAACTCGACTGATATTTTTCTTCTTGGAATGAGTTTTCAATGGAAATCCTCATTGTGTAACAACGAATTTTTAATCTACCACAAATTCCCTGAATGATCATCATTGGTTTGGTATAAAATTTCCAACGAGAAACATTGGCCGTTCCGCTTTGCAAGTTCGGATGTTCTCTAAAGATTAACCCATATAATTTTGCAATTCTGTATAGCGTTTGATATTCTTGCCGACTCAGCCAGAGTCAGTCAACAAGGATGAAACAAGGGTGTAGTGCTTCTTGGCTTCTTAGCATAGACCGGCTTCATGTACGGGTCGAAACGTTCACCATAATTCTTATTACTTGCTTCCTCAAAATCTTTTGTGGCAAAAGTGCTTCCAGGAAGGGTGATAAACCTGTACAGTAATTCACAAATCAGGTTTGTCGGTGGTTTGGTGGAGCACAACTTCTATTAGAATTGTATTTTGCTTGTCCCAGACCTGTAGAATGGTAACTAAAAGAGGCAAAGTATTACATTTTATTCTAGATATTGTCGTATATTGACAACCTTTCCATATTATCATGTGTTGTATGTCAAGATAACATCATATTTTATGGAATGACATGAATTATCATCTGAACAAGAAAGAAGAGAATGCATATTTCGCGTGTAATGCGGTAAAACAGGCGGAAAAGAAGTCTCAGAATGCTGATTTTTTGAGCGCCTCTCCAACCACTGATTTCCTCTACCGAAGCATTACTAAGAGATCTCCCTCTAGAATCCACTGCGACAGATCCATGGGCATTAGCATCCCTAAAGTTAAAAAAACAATATGTTATTAACACTCAACCATTTATCGGGACTGCACAATTACCGATAAATCATTCATTATTGGTTTGAGTAGGTTTACGTTGCTCCATTTCCTGACCATGCGAAGGATACAGTTGACCAACGCCCAATTGTTCAAAGCCCAAAATGGAGTTTTCCGACGAACTGCTTTAAGTACCAATTACAGTCATTCATGTCGTGTCTAATTTTTCGTCATAACACCAAGGTTTGAAAAACAGTAGTTAATTATCAGGCTTAGCATCAAGGAAACTTGTGGTATTTCCCACTTTTGATGCGTTGCTCTGTATGACATACATACCCTTGAATAATGAAGTAATTTTAGACCGTTTTTTTTTTCAAGAAGAAATATGCCTCACGCAGAAATGCTCAAAAGGTCACGCCACATCGCACTTTGTTCCAAGTAATCTTTGGTTGTTACTTTTACCGGACCGCAACAGGCATCCTTTTCCCGAAAAAACCTCAAAATATTTTTTAAAATTACCTTACGCCAAAAAGTGGCACGCAATTTACACTTAACATATAGCCCACTTGAAGACTGTGAGTGAAAAAGTTGTGGGTGTTTGATTTCCTCTCAAATAAAGCCGAATGGTAGGCATGGAAATACTAAAGTGGGTCCTTCCTATTAATTTTGGTTTTCTTCATTTACTTGGTTTTCTTGTAACAAACAAATACAAGTTTGAAGATAATATTAATTTATTAATTGCTCAAATATTACATCAGATGATAAAACGAGCAATAAAAATCCGAGGAGTCCAGAAGATTTGTAAATAAACTACTTCCCACCATATTTAAGTAAACTAAAATTAATTTGATTCCTTAATTCGTGCGTCGGATGGTGGGCACATTTTGAATGCTCCTCGAGTTGGCCAAAATCACTATCCCTGTGATTATTTCCTACTTCTTGGGATTGCCTTTTTCTAATTTCCGAAATTTTTACATGATGATGTGTAAGCCCAACTTCCAAACAAGCCGCCCAGGCATGCAAGAGATGCACACTCACAGGCATGCTAAGCCGGCACGTGCTAATGGCTACAACTTACTCTATGAATAGTCGTTGTGTCCTTGATCAACTTCTGCTCTTTTTAGAATGGCAGGGAAATCAGTACCTTTACACTGTATGACTATATCGTATATGGCAAATGCTGGATTACCTTGTCCGTTGTATGGCTATTGCTGATTCTACCTGCATGGTCCAGAAGATTGGATATCGGGCAACTTTTACTGTGACAGCTGGGCACGTATTGCATATCAGCTAATGTACGCGTACTCGCATAAACTTGCACTCGTCTTTAGAAGGTGAAACCATTCATTGTATTCAGGAGTTTCATGCTCCTTGGAATGACAAAATCACGCCTGAATATCCATGGAGCCATTGTCGCGTGTTTGGTCGAAGCGATTACCATTCAAGCTCGACACGTTTGGCGATCGTCGGTCTGATTGGAGAAAGACTGGTATTCCGCCAGAGAATGATAGATTCATTGGTATTAGGCAGTCGGCTTACAGGTGACCCATGTGTTGATCTGGGCTTTACAAACTACGAAGGAGAATGGAAACTCAGTTTGGTAAGTGTAGATTCTACGGCAAACTAACACAGTTATCCCACAAATTTACACCCACTAACTGTTCACATAAGCAGCTTCAAATGCGAGATTTGTATCTTTTGTGGACGTCCGTACGCAGAGCATTTTAGCGCCACAACCATCTGATATCACCTGTTCTACTAAAAAAACTGAGCCAACTGTTGCTGATTACCTGCAGTGGCGTGGAAGCCGGCATGCTTTATCTTCGACCGACATTTAAAGCTTGATCACGTCCACAAGCATAAATTTTTTAACAGAAGAATAATTAAGAAATGCTGCGCTTTTGAACAGATGGCCCGACCAGTTTCCTATTTGATAAATACCAAGTCACCTAGAACTCACAATTTGGTTAGTTCACGCAGTGCTTCACATAGAGTTGTGCTGGAATGGGCTGTCATTTTGTTAAAAAATGGGAGTGAAGGTCATTGAGATGCGGGAAAGTGGTATTGAGGTTAGAGCCAGACACAAAGGTCAAGCGAAGCTTTATTATTCATCGCTAGCAAATTTCTACCAGAGCGTTTTAACGGATTTTCAAAAAAATAAACGAAGAATTAAGAATATACTTACAGAAGGTTTAGTGAGTTACGAGCAGGTCTCATGCTCATATGCGAATAGTGAAATTAGTCGAGACGGGCTCCCAGAGATGACGTCTTTGAAACTGCACACGCGAGGGATAAAGGTGAAACACTGAATTGATACAAAGAACCATTTTTAGAAAAACATTATGGCGCACAACTGTACACCCCGGTACTTAATGGGCGGTTCAGAGAATATTTTCGGTGTTTAATATGTGATTGTTTGAAGATATGGCGAGGAATGGTGTCCATATCTAAAATAGTTTTGATACGTCGTTCCACCAACTATTGCGGGATAAAAATTTTTGGAGTATATTTGCATCTGAAGACAATATGATCGACGTTCAACATTCGATAGAAACACTGGCTTGCAGTATAAAGTTATGAGTCGTACATTTGTAAGAGTAACAGATTTGCTTACAACGAGGGAAGTATATAATGACAAAAAACTCAGTCACTGAACCTTCGGAAATATGTTTGCTACGCGATCTCGTCAGGACAGTATAAGGATAACCTAACTCCGGAGTATTTACTGCTATAAAAGATATGAACACGGAATTCAAGTCGATGAATGGGAATTTAGCTTGAGAGATAATAGAGGGTTATCCTGATGGAATATCTTGAAACGAGATGCTACAGAACAGAAAGGTGATATTTTCGGCACATGTCGTTTGTGTGACAGAACTGCCACTTTGGGCATATCAAGCTGGCTTGCAACTGTAGCTGACGTTTGGCCATCAGTTAGAGCACACTGCCTACCTTCGTTGTAATGGTAGTGTGAAGGCAACAGAATGATCTCATTTATGTCGCTTGAGTCCTTCAGAAGGGTAAAGCCTGTCAAGTAAAACAGCTTACTAACAAAGGGACAAAACAAATACGTGCGCATTTCCTCAGATCGTCCGGAGCTTTCAGAATTTGTTGCGCTAGCGTAATCAAAGACAGTAACATCTGTATCAGCCGGATCCCTATTTCACTTTCGAATAACGCATATCATATTTAGCGTGTTTTGTATATCATAGTGACAACAACAGCCCCGTGACGAACATTAGGAAAGACGTTATTTTCGGTGTACTTTAGTGCACCTGAGGCTGGGTTGTGTACAGCCTTCCCTGTCGTCAGCGTGGATACCACCTTTCAAGCCTACAGGGGCTTGTTTTTGGCCCGTGAAAGGCCCTGGCTAGTTTGGCCAGGTTACGTCGCTAACTAAAACTCAGTTTTAACTTTGTCAGTTTTTGCTCACATGATGGGAAAGCCTCAAATCATGTTTTACCAGAGTTTATGATCAAATGTAACCAAACGTGAACAGCGGACTGAAGGACTGGACACGCCCTTCAACAACACCCAAACGACTGGTAAGGCAATATGGCTGGCATTCCTAAATTTGTCAAAATTGACCCGAAGCACCACGAAGGTTGCCAAGATCTGAACGTTGCACGAGGGAGATACACAAGAGAGCTGAATTCCGCTCACCGCACCACTCTTTTCGTCAATTGGCTTGCCCGGTTAAAGTGCTTTCGGTTTCAGAGGCTATTTGTCACCAGTGTCTTTAAACTCCCATCCCAATACAACCCCTCCACACCCGTGGTAGGAGGTTGAAAAGATGCCGGTTTTTTGCCGGTGGTCAACGAATTCTGATAAACGAAAGTTCATACATATAATTCAACGAGTTTTCTCGTCATTTTAAAACAAAAGTTAATGGGGTGAAAGTGTAAGGAAAGGTCAAGCATGACATGATTACCGGTGAGCTGAGGAAGGTCGATAGCTAATCTGGCGGCGTTGGGATGACACTAACGGTTCAGTGTAGGAAACAATTTAAGTCCGTCATAAATTTGTGAGTTGTTATTCGGGTTCGTGGAAGTACTACAACATGGTGAGGTGAAGCATGTTATGTAATTGGCACCCTAAGTGCTAAATGGTATTGAAAACTACTAGAATTCGTGAAACAAATCAAAATAATTGGGGACGACGACAAGTCTCTTCATGGATCGCACTTTCAGGACCCTGGATTCATGGGGCAATCGTTATACACTAGAAGTATTCTAACCCATACCCAAATTTCACCTGTCTCACAGGCTAATTACTAGTTCAAGTTCACAAAAGCATCATGTCAAAAACGCAGATATAGTTGGATACACGCGAGCTTCTTTAGTCATCTTCGAATCAGTCTTATTCAGACAAACTTTCTGTTGTTTCTTGTGAGTATTGTGAACGGTATACACCGAACAAATAAAGCACTGAACTCAATATCTGGTGGTATTAGTATCCAGTGGACGTTTTTATATTCCGCCCTACTTAGCGTTTGGCCCAGTTATCTGAGAGGCGGGCTAAGTTTGTACCAGCCATTCACCACACTAATGAACGGCCATGTCCGAACTACCGAGGGTGTTCGCGTGTGTGCTACTTCTGGTCAGGCCCAGCGCTCTTACGGCAACCTGCCCTGGTTTTGCCGGTATTTCTAACCACTTGGGTCTGCGGGCGCCATTATCGTGATTATGAGTCAGTAGTTAATGGATGTGTGGTGCTTCTATTTGCACCGATTTTGATTGCACATATTACGGGATTCCCATAGCTACCCACAATGGGAACAGACGGAATTTCTTAAAAGCTTCCAGCCCCTGGTCGCTCTAAATTACCGAAGAACGTTGAAGGTTAGGTGAACGAATTCACGCAATGAAAACTATCATGGAGTGGCCGATCTCAGGTATCTTAGAAACCATCGTTTCTGCTTAATTTTAAGCATCCCTGTCTGTTGAGGTGTTGTGCAGCCTCCTTGTTCTTCTATCTTATATAGGTAATGACTTGAGAAGTCAGGCAAAACCGGATTATGTGGAACGAAATTCGCAACATTATACACTCCAGGTGTAATTTTCTTGAGCCCAATCGGTGCAGTACATACTTAACAAGAGCGAGGAAGTTTGAATCACCTTGAAATGCGTGAAATACCCACTACTGCCATTTTTCAAAAGGAATGAAACAGCTCTAGGAAGCTTCACGATAGAGTGACTTCCTTTGTAGGGCGAAATCTCTACTGCAATCCAACGATCCCAGCTTTATTCCGTGAATTGGGAAAAAGCAGTCCAGAGAAGCATATGTCTAGTGTATGAAAAATCGAGGAGACAATGTTTTTTTAAAATGACACAATTGTCCAGAATTTTCGATGCGGCAAAATGAGATCATGTATGCTTTGGACGCAAGATTGAAAAATCTAGAGGCGAATACACCAGGTGGAAGTTAGAGGAAGAAACTGAGTGTTTGATTCTTTTGTACAGATTACAGAAAAAATGAGGGATTCTGAGTTTCTTTTACTTGAGAATTATGTCATCAAATGCACATTTTTCAGCAATTATACCATCTGAGTCAAGCGACAAATATAGGTTTCTCAACTGTGACTCGCTCTGTGGGGAAAAGTCCCACCGTTTAGTCGCGTCTGAGGACCTGAAGCTCTGCGCTCAAACAGTTCCTGAAGACGACCGACGTGTTCGCGCACTGGCTGTCGTGACTGCTGTTGCGTGGATGAAGGCTGAAATGGGGGGAATATTGACAATTACTTGAGGCGATGACAAGCACGTGCAGTGGGATGTTCAGTTAACAGGCTTGTTTATGTTTCTGGGTCATACTGTTGTTTAGTCCAGAGAGGTTTTATTATGTACTTTTGAAAACTTATGAAGCGCCTTATTTTTTTTAAAAAATGTGCCGCTTCTATCTAGCAGGAGGCTTAGTGTGAGTTTCTATTACACATTATAGTGAGCTAAACAGTTTACACACACGTATCATGAGCAGGACGAAATGCTCATGGTTTGACCCGAACCACCAACCATTCGCTTAACTGACGGATAGTCTACCAGCTGAGTTGCCGAGGGCGCTTGCTCCGAATGATACCTCTGCATTTACGCACCATAGCTGATTCGCCACAGGTTTACCAAATGTATTGATAGACAGTATTTGCCAACGCCAATGATGAGCCCCTTGTATGGTTCGCACTGAACTAATAGTACCATCATCAGTGCTTCGATTTATATTATTAGCGAGCAGGCCGGCATTTAGCGAACCTAGAAATGAGAAAACAAGATACATACAGCACCGATGAAAGAGTACGCCAAGCCGTGAAATCTATTCTCATTTGTTTTTTCCTCAACATATCCACAAGCGTTAGTGCCATTGTCATCGTTTTTGGGTGACTTGTACGTCTCACCTGGCACAGCATTGTTTCATGCGACTAAAAAAGTAATGTTATCCTCATCGTAAGTAAGAATCGCTCATTCTCCTCATTATTTGTCGCCAAATATGGTCAGCCTTGCTCAATCCTCATGTCGGTCTACAATTTGAATTAACATAGGTGGGGTAATCGTTACTTACTTGATTTGTCACTTTCAAGATGGGATAAGAAATTACCAAGTTCTTGAAGCCTATTTATCATATAAAGGCTTGGGGACGGGTGTCTCATGCTGGTGCAAAATACAAACCTAGATACCAGTCAATAAACCAACGGAAGAGTTCTGAAGCATTGGTTCAATCAAAGCGTGACCACTTAGGATAAATTCAAGGACCATTAACAAATCACCTTAATCGGACGTAAAACACCCAACATATCAAGGTGACGGAGCTGGCAGTAGGAGGCTAAATATATCAAAATGCACGCTTCCCTTAGAATGCGGATGGTTTGGATTCACTTTCAAGATAGCAGGATGTTTCTATACACTCTGAGCTGCTGTCCTATTATTAAACTCGTCATCGATGCATCAATCGGCAATCTAACGCTCCTTGGTGTGTCAACTACTCGACATCCAGACAGGAGATTGCAACGCACCGTCCATCGTGTAGTTCCGTAAAATCATCTCAAAAACACTTACTCAATGATTGACAAGTAGACCTTAGACCAAACATGGTTTTAATGAGGTAGGATTGTGCGAGTCTGCCTTTACCGAACAAGCTACCGCATGCACATGGACTTTTGAAAAATGTGCCCGCTGAACGAACCATTCACCAAACTTGACTTGAATAACCGAGACGGAATAAAGCGTTATTAGTCTATAACCTAAGAGTGGTCATATGCCATACAGCACCAGACACAAACTTCAGGCCGTTTTGAACTCATTAGCTACTTGTCGAGCCATGTTGTTACGACAGGTTTCTCTATGTTTTGCGTTTCTTGTGTCTTCTACGGCCGAATATAATTCGAAGTGTTCACACCTCACAACTTGTCTTCACTGTCAGTTCTGAAAAAACCGGACTAATAATCAACTGAAAGGACCAACTGTTCAATTACAAATGTCGAGGATTATTTCTTAAATCCTCATGAACTGGATGAGGAAACACTGTAGACACATTCAACCGGTCAAACTCAGAGTTTCACCTTTGAATATCTATGAGCATTCCAGATGTTCTTTTCGGCACTTTGAGCAAGGGAGTGAGACTTTTGTTGTCGTGGTTTCGAAATCCTGCTATCCTGGTTGTGAGCTCCAGCGTCGTCGGAGTCAGTAGAGGTTGACACAGAATTTTCAAGATCCAGGACGGCACGTGAGACGTTACCCAGTTGCAAACCCCGGCGAACCGGCGTTTTCGGTAATTTGGGCTCTCTCGGATCTTGGATTGGTTGTTGGATGAGTTGCTGAGTGCCGGATGAATTTGCACTGGAAGCATGTGAGCTTGTACTCAGCCCGTGTACTGTTCCCGATAAATGTTCCTATTATGAAATTCATGCCGATAAAAATGAAAGCCTCCTCGAGCAACATTGAATAAAAACTACGTAAATGTGAACTTAAAACATTGTCATGAAAGGAAAGTACCAACACAAAAATTTGCGGCGGAGGCGCAGAAGATTGAACGCTTGATATGTAATCTAATCCAAAATTGCTTTGGTCATACGTCTTTGGATTACGTGCGGTCCAAAAAACCTTCCAAGTTTGAAAGGTCTAGTGATTCTATACAGCTACAAGTAGTTCCCTGAAGTTGAATGACTGAATAAACTCACACAGAAAATGAACTAGAAAAACTTAATACTCTTCCAAATAATTGTAAATTAATCAGCAGGTAGAATGATGCTCAACTCCCTCTATTGCTCAGGTCGTTAAGCAAAATCAGACAAATAGGGGAAGCAAGGAAATAAGGACTATGTGCAGGCATTGGTAATTGCTCAATTAGTTCGGGAAAGGCTAGAAGAATTACATCATGAATGTACGGTTTCCAGGATTCATATGGGCCTATACGAAATCCAGTCTTACCTGATGTGAATTTTCGCTACCAATATTTGATACTGGAGCGTTCTGCCTCACTGAAGTGACCGTCTGAACATGGCTAGCCGTGCTGTGTGTGTAGGACTTTATGACACTGCTGACCTGTGTTGTGCTGTGTATTGTGGCGGCTGCGAACGCTGCTCCCAGACGTCCAATAAGGCTGCTACCGAAAGTGGCCTTCCAGCCACTTTTTTCAGCAACCACTGGTTTGGGCGGATGTACAGTGGGAGATCGAGCAGAAGATTTGTTTTCGCTTTGTACGGGTAGATTTACACAGGGCTCCGATATGCGATCAATTGGTTTGTGGTGTTCTTGATATGGTTTAGTATCTTTAAGGAAGAAGGGTAGCAAGTTTGAGTTTACTAACGTACGATGTCCCTAAAGAATGGGAAAACACAGGTTATTAGGACTTTGATATGAGGGAACGCCTAGCGTCGTCAAAACCGGAGCAACCAGCGTCTCGAAATTCGTTCACGCGCTCCTCATCATCATTATCCACGTAAATAGTGCCCACATCAAAACTATCGTCATCACCATGAGAAGCAGCAGCGATCGCGAAATAACACTGTTTTTTGCGAAATTTCATAAATATGCAGGATCAGGGGCCTGCGGTAGGCCTGAAGCAAACAAACGAACTAGAGCTTGTCGGAGTGATTGAAGCAGACAAAAAAGACAGCTGATTGAACGCGAATATAGAATGTGCAAAGTGTAGCCGAAGGGTTAGTGAATACGCGTTTACTAAGGACATTTAGAAATTGTCCCATTTCAATGGTTTTAGGGCCTCAACCGTGGCGTGTTCCGGTTCCTCACAGGGTAAATGACAATTGCAGACCTTGTTGCGTCATCGGTTTAGGTTTCTCAGGGCTGGATTTGCTAGTATCACTTCTGGATCTACTGTGCAAGAGTATTGTTCTTTCAGGGAACTGTTCATCTCCTAAGTATAACCAACCAGTCGAAAATCCAGTAAATTTTCTTCTCATTCAGTATTCTTTCTACACCAAACAGATCTAAGCAAACAATATCAAACGATATCGACATGAAATTACTAATTTATCTCAAAGCTCCTTCCTCAAGTACAATAAAAAATTGTTTTTAAAATTCATTCACCTAAAGTGGCTGAAGTAAAATCCGTAAGTGTATAACTCACAATTCGCTGCAGAGGAACGGTTGAAACGATGACTGACTCACCGGATGTCTGCCTTTGACTCGTTGTACACTGGGTTATGGTGCTGGTCGAATCACAAGGAGCCATCAATGGATCAGCTGGACATCCTTTAATTGATGGCCGTCTGGCAGGCTTTGGTGGTTCAAACACAGTGGGGTCGTTGGAAGAGATTTCTTCCGCACCGTTCGATGTGATTTGGACCTCAGGATCCGCAGACGTGATGTGCTCAAAGAAGTGATGTGTATTATTGTCAGTGGGTGTGAAAGCCACATCGATCGGTGATGCAGGAGGTGATGGATACTGAAAAGAACCAAAAACATGATGGGAAAGGAGTAAAGTCTGATTGGGTCAAGTAGAATAATTGATAAGACGCTACAGCAATCAAATTAAATACAGCTTACAGTCTGTAGAGTGGGTTTATTAGTACGAAACTGCAATGTATCTAAAAGGGTTTTTGCAATATCTCGCTTCATCTCAGTTAGACTCCTCTACTGCAGACGCATATCGGCATTGATCTTTTCGTCGGCCTCTTCAAAACTTTGCTATGACATTTGTGGATTGCGATTTGAGTAGCAACATCAGTACTATCTTTTCTTGATTAAGATATCAACCATATCCCTTCTTTAACGATAGTCACCCTCGAAGTGGGTTCCATCGACAAAATTCCCTTAACTTTCCGTTATTTTGAGACCTTTGGACACACTAAGAGATTTATTATGGTATTACAAATCTCTTCCACTAATTAAAGCACTGTTTCTGTGTCGAACTGGTGTTTATGAGAAAAAATACTCTAAGGAATCTGTATGTTTCTGTTAGGAAAACCTGGTGAGAGGTTGGCATAAGGGAGATATTCTTACCCTAATTAAATGCCCTCACGATTCACATAACCAGTGCACGCGAAAAAAGCGGAAAGAACTAGGCAGTCCGCCGCGTATTAGGAGGCGAATTGGTTGTTTTCTTCTACAATGTCCCACCTGTGGATGTATGTAGCATTTTTGTATCGCATGGCATTGTGCCCCCATAGGTTGAGATATGTTAGTACCGAAACCACCTGCGAGCTGTCGAATTCCTGCAGCCCAATTCATCCGAGAGTTGCAGCAGTTCTACTAAGTTTGCAGACTACTAAATCATAACGAGTAGTGAAAATAGCATAGTTTGCTAGGCTAACTTGGAAAGTGCAGCAATCACTCACTGCAATGAAGTTCCGGAGACCATTGAGATTTTGTCTGCGAATAACACTGTCACGCCGAGAGTCCTTTTGAGCGGTATCACAAGGCTGAAATAAATTTTAGCACATTTGTAATCCACTACACCTGAAAATAAACCTATTATTAGAAATTAGTCTTCAGAAACGTTATATTCCCGAATTTATATATAAATAAGTGAAAATGTGAGAGGCGGCTAACTCCGTGTCGAATGTGTAAAACTGAACGTTTTCCAGAACATAATCAATATAGTTAATGTGGTTTGAAAGTGGTATATATGCAAGCGTGCGTTGGCAAATACGAAATCGCGTTTTTTGGCGTGAAAACATATACATGTAAAGTTTAGATGTCGATTCTGTATGATGTATTGTCGAATGTGTAAAACTGAACGTTTTCCAGAACATAATCAATATAGTTAATGTGGTTTGAAAGTGGTATATATGCAAGCGTGCGTTGGCAAATACGAAATCGCGTTTTTTGGCGTGAAAACATAATACATGTAAGTTTAGATGTCGATTCTGTATGATGTATTATTACAAGGGCAGAAGATCCCCTGCAAGACGTTAAGCATTATCGTTGTACTCCAACCACCCTTTTGTCCATTACGGCAGAAACATTACCATATATGTTTAGAACTTAGTTAACACTCTGGACTGGCTCACCATCGCTGTCTTTCAGAACGCAGTTGTAGTTCGAGTTGTGAAAAATAAATAGGCCCCACTTGTGTGTTTTTAACCGAATCGTACGTACATTATGGTCAGTTTTATGTCCGTTTTGCGGAAAAAAATTCCAGCTTGTCCGAGTGATAACCGAAACCTATTCAATCTGTAGAGTTAGCATTTTTAGTAGATTCAAAGTTTAGAACATTTGTACAACCTTATTTCCGACAACATAGACAGTGGAAAGCCAAGCGGGCATCGCATCCAATGTCACGCTTATATCTATGGTCCTGGAGGTGACAACCAAAGACACCAGACATTATTCTCACTGGCATCCTCATTTCCCAAGGTTCGTATCCTTTCGTTTAACTGGATTCCTTGAGCCACCACTTCCCCTGGTTTTATGTGTCATTGTTTACTCCGAAAGCTGGGGGTGTCAGAGCCCCTAAAAATTGTTTACATGTTAAGCTACCACAAAAAAAGTTATTTTCCAAATACTTGAACTAAGAATCATCGTGCCATTTCTGCCACATTGCACATTTTATTCAAAAGGATCGTGCTTCTTTAGTATTGGCTAGTTGCACTTGGTATGTGCTAACGCACTTGCCGTTCTCCGCGGTCGTTAAAAATATATCTGTTTTGCCTTTCTCCCACTGTAATTTGTCCTTAGTTGAGGCAACAAAAGCTCTCTTCCCTAGGTTTGGTCATCTTCTTCTCTGCGCTAGGGTCGGTTGAGCTCGAGTCAATGCTTGGGATTTGGGCACTCGTTCTCAAGTCGCACATGGATGTTGATCGCATCGGTTCAGTTTGTAAAATACACCCAGCTATGGCTAGCACTGTGGATGGAAGCTTGCACTAACCTGAAAAATTACGCACCTTTTTTATAAATTCAGCCGCTGAATGGTCATGGGAAGTTTGCACAGGAAATTACTACAGGGTTTTCTGGGTGACATGCCACACTACATCTGGAAAACCCTGTTATCATCGCCGACATTAACTTCTCTACCGTGTTCCCGTTCATTTCATTTCCGTCATACCTTCATACTTTGACACCACCAGGAAAAACTGACTCTCTATTGAACACTGTACTACAAACTCCATCTATTTCAAACACTACCTTATAATTCATCATTTTATCTCGTGGATTTTTATTGAATCTATCGTATGACACATTTGGAACTTCCAGACCCAATGCCACTCCATGATTGCGGACCCAGAGTCTCTTGTATCTTGGCTTACCTCTTGCATTTACTGCTCACTGCCAGTAATATGTATGTACCTTTTTTATTCGTAAAATGTGGTCACCATCAAACTCGTAATTACCATGACCCAAGTTTAATCATGTGACTGTCTTCAATTATCTGAGACTTTATTTGTCGGAAGGTTTTTGGACGAAGTTGGAGAAACATGCGTCCCGCGGGATCCTTCGCATTGTTTGGCTCAAACTGACTTGGTGTACATATCACACTCATGAACATTTGCTCGAGATAGGTTTAGTCAAACATAAAAAAGTCTTGAGGGTGTCGGTGACGTCTTGCAAGTCAAACTTCTTGCAAAATATAAGAAAAATAGTTCCCACACTTGGATGCTGGGCTCTGCTGAAAATTTCTTATATTGTTGCTATTTTCTCGATCCACTGTGGTTTTCCCATCGGCTGCTGGCTTCAAATAGGAAGTTCTACAAAGCTACTTCTTTCATTGATCTTTATTTGCTTGTCTGGTCATTCTGACGTCCCCACACAGTCACCAAGAACACAAGTGATTATTTTGCTACAACTAAAGGGTCACAATGAAGCTCTACTTGCCGCTGATATGAGACTTTGTCTTTTCTCCTCATTCTTCCAGGACGGAATCGGCCCCAAAATTATAACGATGGCATTTTGGAATGAATAATATTGCTCTCCATGCAAGTTCCGGATTACTAATGTCATATGCAGAGCGCCACTCTTCATCGAGTTCGAATTTCAGGCCGAATCTTGACAAAAGATGTGACCCTGATTTTCTCGCCTTTTTTGCAGCCTTGATATCATAGCTTTCCTTTTTTCACCGAATCGCCGCGGAGAAATATGTAATGAACTTTTATGTGCTCCAGGATTACTAACTGGTTCCATCAGGGACCCTTCTGGGTGTCTCAATTACCGAAATAGTTTGCTGGTCTAAGGTTCACACGTGGTACCCACGTCTTCTCCTTTGCATTCGACATTATGTGCATCCGTATCCAAAAGGCATGAACAGGCAAACATCTCGCCTCAACACACGTTGCGTACCCCATCATCATCATCATCATCATCATCATCATCATCATCATCATCAACATCATCATCATCATCGACAGCATGACATCAGTGTTCAACACCGATGCTTCACTGTCCAACTCACAGAAGTATGCAAAATGACGTACCGACGACTTTGTCTGCATCAAATAAAGTGACGGTTGACTGGCGGTCCAGATGAATAAGAACATTCTTAAAACAAGCATCAAACACTGCACGTAACACGCTTAAGTCGTAATTCTCTAACAGCTAGCCAGAAAACCTAGCAATGACAGCACACGGGAAGGTTATCCTCAAGCCCTTTTCCCCACGAAGCTTGCTCTGTTGACAGCGTCAGCCAATAGCAGTGGTGACTGCAGGTTGCCAACATCAAGATATGTGTGAAAGCGAAAGTGTACCTAGTGTTATAGAGAACAAGCTTAGATAAAACCCGCAGACAAAGCAGAAAATTTCTTCTGCGCCGTTGTAAAATAGATGGCATTCAATTATTGCTAGTCAGCCACTGAAAATACCCTCATAATTCAGGCCTTCCAAATAGGTGTATTCGGTCACGAAATCGGAATGACACTATTTTCCAGAGCAACAAGGTTTTCCACGTCCCAACTCACTAGTGACATCCGTTCTCCTCTGTCTCTCTCTGTAGTACGACGAATGGCACACTTTTAATCTGTTTTGGAAATGCGACTGAATGTATATCTTTGTAATGTACTACTCGTAGGTTTGCTGAAAATGCGTTGACAGCCCACGACCGGTTTCGCCCTTTTTGGGGCTCATCAGGCGCGGTCCCCAGGTTTCCGTCAACCTTATCTGCTTTTTCAAACCGAATTGCACGAAACTAGCGAATATACACTCATTTGCAAACTGAAAACTAAAAACATCACAAACGAGAGATTCAGCTGGGTTCCAGGTGAGTCTGTCGAAAAACCAAATTAGTTTGCAAATGAGTGTATATTCGCGACTGAATGTACTTCCTTTTCACCCAAAATAGGCTTAAGTGGTGTACGCGAAAAGAAACAGCCTAGTCGTAACCGAATATATCCCTTAAAAAGTATCCTTCGTGTTTTTACTTGGTACACGAAATTTAGTCTTAAGGTGGCACTGTCGACTTAGGAGCCGCTTCGGCTTGTAAACAGCAGAAGCACTTCTCGAAAAGCTTAAAGACCATTTAATCTGTCCGCTGCAACATGCTGTAAAATCTTGAGTTACTGTGCTGATTCATTATGTTTTACTGAGACCAGTTGGAAACTACTAACATGCACGACGGTTGAGGTCACAGGAAACCCATAACTCAGGCGTTACTTTTTTTATTTTTCTCAAGATGCCCCATTTCACTTGAATTTCGGTTCGTCTTTCAACCCGGTCTGTTTGGTAATCGAAAATGGGTGGCAATGTACATCGTTATTTTTGTCAGATATCTGCTTTCGAACAAGATCCATCTGCATTTTACTTTTTATCCTCTCAGTCTATAAGTAGTCAGTCTATGCTAAAAACCGAGAAGCCATGTGAGCTGTTTCATCCTTATTGAGAATCGTCAGCAGTGCACATCTCACTAATGAGTAATAACCTCCTGGTTATCAGTTGAACGCTTTGAAGTTCTGTATTTTACTTTTGATAAACTACTGTATTTCCAGATGGAAGGAGTTTGTCCATACGATCTCTGCAGCTGTGGTGTTTGGCACCTTACACACTTCCAGTTCACTGGCGTCACCTACATGAATGGTGTTGCGTTTAATAGAAAATTTAGACAAGTGTAACAACCAACGTCAACTCTAGTTGGGACGAAAGCGAGTTTATTAAATAAAAAAGTCACACATGCCTGAATGATCGATCCATCTGCCTGGCAAGCTGAGCGTCATAGCATGGTTTTCGTGGTAAAACTGAAAATGGTAGTTCATGATATGTTGCGAAAGTGCAAAAACAAACGCCATTCAATTGCAGTAACAGGTAAAGCGAAGGGTTACGCGGTTCAAGGTCTCAGATAAACTAACCTTAATCCATGCATGCATCAAACACTCGTTGACAGTGAAACGCTTTCTAAAAAGCAAAGAAGAATATTTGCGAATATATGGTGTACATCACTTTTATTCACTAAATTATACTTTAATAAGGGATGCGTCTTCGTTTTAAATGGAATTTTCATGGCTCACTGAGTCTAGCTGGTGACAAACTTTTAGCAGGTTTAGTTGTCATGTGTTAGATAGAAGGTTTTCTAGACCATCTGCAATAGCTCTTTTCATTTAGTTCATTTCAGTAGCATGAGAGAAAGCACACATTTTGATGAAACCTCCTTGGTGTAATATGTCTCATCTCTTTCGAAGCGCGCTGTCAGAATAATCACCACACAAAGTCCTTTTTGCGCACAGTTCCAATCTCCAGCCAGTCTTCTTTTGGGAATAATTTTGAGTAGCGTATTTCTCCAGACCGGTACCTGAAGCGCGATATTCTTGGATATTGTCACAAACGCTAATGTTTCCCCGTCACACTGGTGGATTCTTCTTAGTTCTGCTTGGTTGATAGCTAGGACCGTCGTCCACTTTGAACTCAACAAAGCAAGTAAAAGTTAACGGGACCGCAAAGTGACGATTGTTTTAGTTTTTTGTTCATAGCCTAGTTTTCTATCTGCACTGTCTGACTTGCTGATTTCTCAAAGGCAGTTAATTGTGACATTGTTTTTCTCCAAGTTTTTGCGAGCAGCGGAAATTAACTTGTTACACATAACACCACTATACAGGAACGACATATACGTTGTGGGTCAGTTGCAACCTCACAAGGGTAACGGGCCTCTAGATAGTTCACCGTAGTCGAGTTGAGAAAATCCTTCCGAAGTATCAGATGTACGCGGATTGTGCTCAACAGTTTAAGTGTATGGGCAAAACTTCCTATTAGTTCTCCTTGTCACGATGAAACATCCAATCAGCACACAATTTTATGGGGTAAGCTATTTTACAAAGATGCGAATTACTGAATCCAGTAATTTATGAAAATGTCTGCCTATATTACGATCCCGAACGCCCTCAACGTTAGTTTGAACTAACGCAAACAACAGTGAAGTTACCCCCACGATATCGTTCTTCTACAACTTAATGATAAATTGCTGATCATTTCAGACCCAAATCGTGTGAAACAAGCGGTTTGATTAGAATCCAATAAATCATTTCCAGTCAGAACAAGAATTAAAAATTTGCGTATCGTTGCTTGACTGAAGATGAAGTACATCACCAAGATTTATTCTGGAATGTATATCAAGGCATAGGTTTGCATTTAGATATCTAATGAAATAAACATAACAATATTAGACACTTAATATATGGTACTGATTTATTGTCTCTGCCTGTCGTACTATATACAAGACAAGCTTTATGCGGTGTGTGGGATGACCGGCTCTGCATAGCTATTCACACGATAGTAACGAGGCCCACGTGATATCCAGCCTGTCTTAAACTGGGCGTAAAAAACAGCTGTTCCCAAAACATCAACGTCCAAATCAGGAAAATTTACGCTCTACTTATGTGTCAGCACACTGTACACTTCGTGGGACACGAGAAAAGGGGATATTCGCTAACTGGGTCGGACAAGCCTTGAGCCGGTATTTTTAATAACAACTGGTTAGTTTTCCCATCAAACCGGATTGCGTTCCTGGGGTGCATAGACATGGACGTCAAACAGGCAGATTACTACACTTCAGTTGCCGACTAGAAATATGAGTACCTTTGGCATTTCATAGGAAAATCATGACCGCGCTGACTTCACTGAAATTTAAGCGTTTAATAAATTCCCTCAAACATATGGCACAAAACTTCTTTTGTAAACAGCATTCCATAGATGAAATAGATGGTGGTGAAAAGTGCATATTGATGGTGAAATTACTTTTGACATCATGCGCATCACCCACACTAACGAAAGTTGACGAGCGATACAGTCATATGATCAGCTATTTCGGGCGCTTTGAAAAAGCAAATGATGTGCCAATATGCATGAAATCTACGAGAAAAGGCCTACAACCAGTGGAAAACCTGGAAATGCCGCAAAACATGAGACTAAACAAACTTTAGTGGGTATGCCGGTTGGTCTGAATTTTGCACATTTTGGCTCCCATGAAAGACATGTTTACCGAACACCCATCCAGCCAAAAGTATCGGATATGATTTCTGTGATTGAACGTTATGTTTCTTGTTGCAAAAATGCTGAAATGTCATTTAGGGAAACAAAAACATCAACGTGAAAATGCGGGTACTTAGGCTGCGTCCATTGTCCAGGTTCTACTACTACCATGGGTTCGATACATATAGCGTACTGTAAGTAGATTTGCTGCGATGCTCAAATAAATCAGGTATGAGTATCAGTGGATATAGACCAGCTGTATGCTTCCTAGTTTATTTTCGAAGCGGAGCAAACTGTCTGGATATTTTGTCCTGAGTACTTCTACCACTGAATAGAACTTCATCAACTGGGCAAGCAAGTTAACTTATTTCATTTGTCGATCAATAACTGAAAGGATCTGCCCATCTCTCTAGTGTCAACCAAGTGTGAGAAAACAGACCATGCTGTGGATATTTTCACTCCACAGCTGAATTCTCTACCCCAAAAGGTTCTTTCAAGGATGATAGTTGGTATCAACATGGACACAAATGCTACAAGCTGGTAGTACGTTCCATAAGTTTGGAATTTAACTAGCTGGTACCCAAAGGGGTCAACACCAGGAAACTGGCAAAACCAGAGTGTTAGGAGATTGTTCTGGAATCTTCGGAAAAAATACACACCTGTGTACGCCAGTCAGTATTACACGATATGACGTTAACAGTGTTCTTATAGCAAGAACACGCAACTACAAACACCAATCACATCGCTCAAATTTGAACACGTTCGCCTGTCCAGACATGAAAATTCAGGTGCATCCAACGTGCTTTGCTGGAGTAGTGGTTACACGCTCGTCTCGCACGCCAGATGTCCGGGGTTCAAATCTCGACATTGCCATTGGATATGCACTGCTGATGAGCTCTAACAAGTGCGAAACTCGAGTCCACTTCTTCCCTTTGGTGTAGGCGCACCGAAATAGTTACGCCAGAACAGGAATACGACCGTTCAAACGAAAGTGGTGTGACTATGAACAAACTACACATTAGTTAGAAGCCCACAAGTATGAGGATGAAGCTTGAACTCAACCAAAGCAAAATGTAACCACTGAATGCCAACTCAACCTTTTGCACTACTACAGTTAATTAACGTAGCACATCTTCGGCTACTTTAGGATACAAACCCTAATAAAGTGATTTACAGGTTTTAAAAAAATGTGACTTCCGGTAGCCAGAAGTGTGTGGAACTTCTGAAGTGAGGCACCAAACTGTAAACGGTTAGAATTTACTGGTCATTGTTTGAAACTTAATCATCATATTCTTCGAAAGCATGGCATTAGTGTTCAACACTAATACTGTGCTGCCGTACAATCATGGTTTATTCCAAAGTCTTATTTCTAATAATAAAAGTGGACGAGAAAGCGACTTAGGCTAACCTACCACAATAATTTTGAGGTGCCCACACTCATTCACGCAGTCCGGATAGGAACTGACAAAAAAGCCCTTAACATTGATTAGTAGCTGTATCTTGTAGTGCTTCCAAGCTCGATGGTGTTTGAGAGAAGATATGCGGTCATAAACCTCCGAAGTTGAAGGCGCTACCACGACCACCGTCTAAGGTTCTACGTCAGCTGTGAGTTTCCGCAAACCAGTCGCACGGATACACTGAAATACTCTTTGCGCATTCCCGGCACTCTGGATCTCTTCCATTTCTTCGGCTTTACAATTATCCCGGACGTTATGGACTGTGAGCGCGCTCACGTTCGCTTAGTGTCTGATAATTCGTTGGACTGAATTACTTTCCGGACCGGCTGGAACTTTTCCTGAGATTTAAGCGGTGACACTGTTCTGTCTGCTGTACAGTGATTTGGTGAGCCTGGTAGGGCCGTGCCACATGCAAAACAACCAAAATTGGGACGAGATAAATTCACGAGTATAAATTCACATCTGATTTTGGAGTATTTGGAAGGTTCTGGTAAATTCATCCGACATCCCGATCTGCTAGTTTCCCAGTTGCCAATCGATTCGTCTGCAGCTTAAACGGACGTGGAATTCGAAGGGAGAAGCAACTTGGACGACCGTGTAGCCATAATGAACAAATGTGTTTGATCAACATAATCAGCAACTGATGGCAGGCACGCCATCGAAGGACTTCATGTGACTGTTTCGGAAGTCAGTACTGTATGAAAACAACCTCCGATCAGCACACAGCTGAAGCAGCCGTTCGCCACTGTCAATACAAACCAACTCCAGCCCTTGTCGATAACCGATTTGGGTCTCAGATGCGCTACGCCAGCCCACTTGTGCATTCAGACTTCCGGTAACCATAACTATATCTGAGTTTCTGGCTCGCCGTCGAATGATAGCATAATAACATACACCACCAACAATTTTGCGCATTCAGATCACATAAATGAATGTGGCAGTGACAACATACTCGCCTTGGACAGCTGATTATATGCTTTTTTGATAGGCTACCATGACTATGATTCACGTTCATGGTTCACGCACTTTGCTGCGGATTGAGGGGTAATATTCGGATCAGGACATGAGTACGGTTTTTCAAAAGGGGCTTTTGTGAAAAAATTCAAATATTTCAAACAATCTTCTAGGCGCTTAGTTAAAAAGAAACGAATTTGGTCTCAACCCAACCAGCATTGCACTAACTCTGTGCGTCCATTTACCTGAATACGGTTGGATAGCGGACTGCAGTAGACCTACCGGTAAACTGTCTTTCCAACCCCAACATGGCTGCAGTGGTACGACCTCTTGCGACCTGGTCTGAAATCAACACGCATTTCAACATACCCATCACCTTAACATTCAAGAAAGATCATCATAGGTTTGTCCCAGGCCAGAATGCAGAACCAGAGTTCCTTGTTTACTTATCTTCCTGTACCACGCAAGAATCGGAGTGATTTCACTGCGGTCAAATTCATCCTCTATGTAATTGGAAACATCAAATTGTGCTTTTCATCTGCATGTCAAAACCAAATGTGCTGCTTTCCACAGAAACCGTGTGAGCCAGGCGATCGCTTGAACGGGCAAATATAATAACAGATACTGATGCCAAAAACAATTTTGCGGTGCCTCATAGCCTTTTGGGCACTAGTCCAAACATCACCACATACATTGTTAGGTCTGTTTTGTGACGCGACCGCTAAAAATAATTTCTTTTCTGTACTGTTCCCATAAAGGTTCAGCTGTTTTTCTCCCGAGATTTTGCTTTTGATTGACCTATTGAAACGTCTCTAAGCAGCGGGTCCAATTACAGAAGACATCATATAAAGACAACTCATTCTGGCAATATCTTCAAACAAGCCTCCGAATGCCCCATGAAGACAATGTTCTCTCCCACTAAGTATTCTCCCAACGGTTAAACTGCTCGCAAAAACCTCTCTGAAATGGTCAATATTTCCGGCCTTCCAAGAGGGATGGGTTTTATTGTTGGAAAGATGTTTTTCAGCAGAAAGTACTCTGATTTGTTGATTGTTCCCTCACATTAGTACGAGAGAACAGATTCAGGGATGTAATCCAGACCACTCTCAATAGTCCTCCAGCGAAGCACATGAGCCTTATTTGAATTGACTGGAAATAAGCCAAAATGGGAATCATTGGAAAGCTGCACTAATGCCTCTTCTTTCCACGAGACCCCGCAACCTTTGCATCTCATTTTATTGCCTGTCAGTTATCTTCTGACGTGATTTGCTATTTGAGTGTCAACGTTTCTCCTCAATCTATCAGTCCGTTTCTGACTTTGGTTGTGGACCGGTAGATTTACGGAAAACGCTGTCCTCCAAACAGCCCGTTCCGTTAAAAGATCGCAGATTATCCTGAAATGCCGTATTAACGTACGCACGCAAAGAGGAAGTATCCATCCAGCTGCGCACCGATGAAGGTTCATTGTGTGGAGAGGAGCAAGTCAATCGTCAAGATCGGAAAATAAAAAGAACAATAAGCTCATCCGAGCTACCAAGATTTCAGCATATTACCGGCCGGTTATATCAGTGATCTTAGGGATTTTTCTTTTCAGCACAAACCACTCACAAGAGAAATCACCGAGGCTCTTTTGCGTAAGGGTTAGGAGGGATTATTCTGTGTTATTCATCACTATCTTCACCAATGCCCAAAACTGTACAGAAGTAGCTATTTAAATCCGTACCTTGGGTTTTTCATCAAAAGCTTTCGAATAAAATCTTTTGCCAGATCCGTTGTATCACGTATTTCCTCTCTCTGATAGTCCACAATACAATCAAGAATATTCTGGAAGGTTTCAATTTGTGAATCCCCGGCAAAAGGAGATATTCCAGTCAACCTGAAAGTAAGAAATAGCAATAATAATTTTTAACCACCTGGCACATTAGTATGATATATATATTTATAATCTGTAAACTTAGTGGGAAGACACCAGCAAATAATATGCACCTAAGCAAGTAGTAATTTTTGGTACAAGCCCTGAACGATTACTCGTATATTCTCCCTGCTTCCTGTTTTAATCCTTTGAAAAATACCTGATATATTTAGAGCATCTTAGCAGTACGGTCTTGCAAACCGTCCGATCATCTGAAAAAAGCGTCACACTGAAAGTCGTACAGGAAATGGGGTTTGTTCTTCCGAATTCCACGTATCAGTGAATAACAGCATTACTCAAATGAGGCACAGTAAACTTTTAAAAATGCTTTAGATTTTCTTAGTTGCTTTATTTCCCTCGATACATTGCAGTTCACTATGATTATTGTATCTATATCCAGAAGAGCAGAAACTAGCCAAGTGTTTTTGTAGAATTGTGTTATCATCTATTGTACCCTGTATTCGCTCTCTCTTTCGCGACGATGCAAGGAGACGAGTTGTGACAACCTTCGCCTGGATTTTCGTGCTGGGATTCCCCAATTACAGCCACTAGCAAGATTCATTAATCTGAAAGTATACTATTCCATTTGGTCCAGAAAATCATGGTATGATTCTATGATCCGTGTGTCCCATATTGAAGAAAACAGTTTATGGTTTTTGTTTTTTCAAACTCTTCTGCGTTATTTTGAATGATCGTGACGAGTACAGTGGTTTTCCTTTTACAATACGATAGTTGCTGATTACGTGGTGGAATGACTGTATGTTGGTTATTATTGCACTGTTGAGGGAATCTTAGTAAAAACCCAGGTTAGGCTAATTCGGGTTAGTTGACTGGCAGTTATGAGAATATGCATTGGTTTGTCTACCACCCTGGTTTGGAACGGACTACGTGTGGCTGAATTTCCGAACTGGAAGGAGCTACGTATCTTGCGCTGGTAACCTAAGCTCGTCCACCAGTACGAAAGACAATTGGACAAATGATCATTAGGAGGGGGTTAAGTGTGTTACGAAACCAAGTTAATGATTACTATCAAATCTAGTGAACGCTCTACAAATATTGTAAGAATTTTACTACTAAGACAGGAAAAAATCAATGATGTTCCCAAATTCTTAGTAACCCGTGCTAGGGTGTCACTTATTTGGGAATTTCACTGAGGTAAAGGATTGTGTCGGCGTACTTTCCCGTCACGGTAAAGCACCTGTAAGTGGGAATAACAAGAAATTTGCGACCAATCAGTGGGAAAACTTGGGGGTACGTGGTAGACACCACGAGCTGTTGTATTAGCTGGACAATGGGCAACTAGGAAGAGAGTATAAAGTACACACTACGATGCCAAAAGCTTTCTTTCTCCCACAGTGCTACACGAGTCGCCAGCTTTTCCTTACTCCAACCACTAATCAAATAGCGAACTCTGAAAAACACCTTATTTCGGTCTTTGAACTTCCTCCTTCCGCTCCTCCAGTTTCACACCAAGGAATGCCCCGGAAGTTTGTAAACATAATACGTTCTTTGTATTCTCAGACTTCCGGACGTGTGAGAGTGTACGGAGAGCTCTCCAAAAGCTTCCGCACACAAAGCGGTGTCCGTCAGGGATGCCCACTCTCTCCATTCCTTTTTAACGTTGTGATCGATGAAATAATGAGACGAACGCTGGAGGGTCTCCAAAACCCTGTTGTTCAAATAGCCAGTGAAGAAAACCTTGTCGATCTGGAATATGCAGACGACATCGTTCTCATGTTCGAAGCGGAGGAGAAGGCGGAAGTATTCTTGGATGAACTGACCAAAGTCATCCCGTCCTTTGGTATGCATTTTGCACCCACAAAGTGTAAGGTCATGCTTGTGGACGTGCAGTCACTGAACACGCCACTTACGATCCAGGGAGAGGCACTGGAAGTTGTGGAGCGTTTTACGTACCTTGGAAGTTGTATTAGTTCTGATTGCAGTGTGACAGATGAGGTGAATGCACGAATCTGCAAGGCTCGGGCCGCGTTTACTCCCGATTCGGAGTGGCGTAAACAGAGAGGTGGCCAACCCTTGACCTGGCAGAGGAGTATGAAGGAGATGACGAAACGCTTGGGTGCTGTCGGTGCTACTCGCCTTCCAGGATGTGGACCGCGTGATCCTCACTGTGCCTGGTTGGAGACACTACAAGATATGGCTGGCACCCGATGTCAGTGGCGTTCTTGTTGTCAGTTTCTGTCCAGATTGCCTGAATGAATGTCTGGAGGTGTAGGCACCTCGGAATGATTGTGTTAAGCTAGCACTAAGTCCCCCCCATCCACCTTTATTCTTTTCTTTACAATAAGGCTTTCAAATAAGTCATGGCTGTACGGCAGTGAAGCATTGGTGTTGAGCACTGATATCATGCTGTCGTTGATGATGATGACGATGATTCACAAACTGTGTGCAGCCACAGTGAATGAAATGTCTTTAAAGTCGGCACAAAAACTTGCGGCTCACAGTTTCTTTTCCAAGCAGTAGCAGCAGTTGCTGTTCCACAAAAAACAGTGACTTCGCAAAAGTTTCGAGGAGATTTTTTTGAAATTTTCTTAATCGACAAGACTTCACTGTGCAGGTGGACCTAAGCAATAAAGTTCAGGTCAACTTGTTTCTTCAAAATGTTCCTATGTCGGGCACGTTTTGCCCAAGAACACAGTTGGTTTTCTTTTTTTGCCCATTCCTATTAAATTGGTCAGAAAATTTTTGTATCCATCACGTTAAGCGTGTCGATTATTTTGCATTATCCTTACAATACAGTCTTTTGTGCTGCGTTTGTGAGCCACTTTCATTCTCCATTCAATAGCATGTCAATAAGTGGGGGCTATGTTAGTGGGGTATGTTGGCTCTGGTGACGACCCAACTTCCTCTCCACGAAATCAAAGAAAACCTGTTCAGTCAAATAATCTAGCTGGAGGTTCGTTTGGTAACAAAAAATTACTACTATCAGGAAAAACTGAAACGAGTTGTCAAACTTGGACAAAATTGGAGTAACTTTCACACAATACAGTGAATGCCCCTCAACTTACAAGATATAGGTAATGACTCCAATAGCCCACATATCGGTTGCGAAAGTAATTGGATCGTAATTCACAATTTCCGGCGCTGTCGGAAAAGAAAAACAGTGCAGTGTAAGACGCTGAAATGTTGCGTCCGTTATTGGGTGTGGTATGCAAAATTAGAGTATTGACACTTGAGGTAAGTTTTCTTCAATCTCTTGTATTAAATTTGAACAAGCTACAGGAAAACCCTAGGTAAATTTAAACACATTGAGGATAACTTCCGTAGAATTTATTTAAAGCTAGATGACTTTGAATTCAGTACGATCAAGGACATTATCTGTTGCTGGAAGGATGACTTGGTCCGAAGAAATGGTTGAAACCACTAAGTGAAAGTTCCATTCCGACATTCGTGACAGCAGTAAAGTTCAGAAACCCTCTAGGCTAGGACGGATACTAGGGGTGGATTCGCAGTAATTTGCTGACCTATCTTCTCATATGTCGTGCATAAATAAGTAATAAAACTTCTAATAAATAGAAAAGATTTGTCAGACTGGGAAGTTATGGAAAACCAGTTTTTCGTTCCCAACGTTTAGTCACTACGTTGACTTTTCATAACAACTAATTGCTATATGCTTCGTTGTGTTTTGTGAATCTGTGTTGCCTATGAAACTGACTTCAAACACAACACTTTCCTTATGTCTTTGGTGAAAATATACAGACGGAATTTGTTAGACCACATGCAATAACTGTTAGCAACGGCGTTTTCTCAAGAGATAATTAGGTAAAAATAGTACAAGTCCTTATTGTTGCGGAAATTTGGACCATAGTAATCAGTTCATCACTGACATTACACAAAGAACGATCCGACTTTGTGGCATGTAAAATTTCACAAAATTCAGGAAGATCAGGTATAAGAACCCCATTGCATAGTAAAAGAAGGTAAGGAAAGTCTTCTGCCAATAAGAGGTGAACGAAATCCGATTACTCGTCAGGTTGGTTTGAAACAAAGGGTAAGGAGGAACCTTCCATTTTTCCCAGCAGACAAGAACGCATCGGACTTACTGATCGGTTGTTTGCATGATTGAATGAATAACTTACTAACTGAGTGACTAACTGATTGATTGATTATTAAAGGACGCTTTGGGTGCTTACCGAAGAAATGGCAATAAGGGGACGCATTACTTCTTCCGTAATCTATCGAGCAGAAATTTGAATAGAATTCGCTTTCGTAAGAGCGGCGAAAGTAGGCTTACAACAAAGGTACCTATGACGGGGTAGTTTGGATTTCTCCATATATGCCTCACTAACAGGACTGAACGTGTCAAATTACCAAAAACTCAAATGCCCTCTGGCGTTATGGACTTTATAAACATATTTTTGAATTAACTTGGCACGTAGGTCCCATTGTCACAAGGTTCACCAAAAAAACGAGCGTAGCATTTTGGTGTCCTCAGAAAGCAACTCACCTCTGCTATCAGCGGACTCAGTAACCGATTATTGTTCATATGAAACCAGCTGCGTATTTTAATGAATGACTCAGAACAATCGTAAACTCGTAATGAGTATATGATTATAATTATCACTACTCAGACGGATATGTAAACAGGATGAGTAAGTTCCGTCAGATTATGGAACATATTAGGATTCTGCTTAGAGAACTCATCATGTTCATGAGCTTTCTTCCATAGACACTTGCGTTGGTAATTCTCAGAGACCACTGTCCTTGCTTTTACTGCTTACTTTGGGAATAATTGTGCAGCTATCTTACGGGCCATTTGACCCCAAATGCCACCTCTAATTGTGGACCAACAAACTGAATTGGTCCACAGCAAAGTTTTAAGACGACGGTATGTGAAAAATGTCCCGACAGCAGAAGTCGCACGTAGATGGACGACAGAAAGCTACTGACCAAACGTTGAAATGTCTCTGAAAGAAAATTCAAAGATTCGAAGGAATAGAAGAGGCGACTAAATGAAAAACAACGAATATTACAAATTGACTTTTGCAGCTGGTTTGAAAAACTTCGCTAATATTTTTTGTTTGAGCCGTTGTCGATGGCAGGCACATGGTCATGACAGTTAGATTGTTTGTCAGGCAAATCTTCACATGCTGAAAGCTTGAGCTACATGTCACATTTTCTGTGCATGCAACGACAGTCTTATCCGTGCTTCCACCCAGGTTTGCGGATGCTTCATACACGAATGGTTACGATGCCCATTTAATCCCAGTCACGTATACCTGGTCATGATGTCCGCTGGTCAAAACGTCTAGAAAGCCACATTTATTGTTTACCCATCATTGCTTCAGTACCCTATGCAGGGGTTGTCAGCGGAAACAGTGAAAAACAGTCAAGCGCTGAGAAAGGTGGACGTAGTAAATAACTGTGCGAAAACTGTTACGTTCAATCACATTAGCAATGATCGAAATTTGACTGGATGTTCGGCTAGTGGTGTAACTGAATCTGGTCCTGCAACAGTGCGTCCGTCAACTATCTCAGATATTCCTCACTTATCCCTTGACAGTTTACCGTGCTTTCATCTTTTGTCAGGACTGGTTTTTTAGGTACATTTTGTTTTATTCCACATATGCTCTTATGGTAAGGGTGTTTCTACCTAGGGGAAAACGACAGGCTCCATCTCATCTTTGACGTTTGATGTGCGACTTGGTGGGCAATCAGATGCTTGCCGATGGCAAGAGTTGGAAGGATTTCTGTGTTGATATATTAGCAACAAGTCTAAATGTACCTATATATTGATGTGGATGCTTTTGCTTACCATAAAATAAAAAGGTTGTGAAAGACTGATATCTCGGATTGACAGCCCATGGACCCGTAAGTGAGTTTACGCATCGTCATCATCATCATCATCATCATCATATCATCATTGAAAAAGGTTGTGAAAGACTGATATCTCGGATTGACAGCCCATGGACCCGTAAGTGAGTTTACGCATCGTCATCATCATCATCATCATCATCATAATCATCATTGTTAGCTAAAAATCAGGCAAAAGTGGTTTTATTAGTTTGGCCAACAACAAATATTCATTGGATGTTGATCAGTTTCTTTTTGCGTCACCTGCGTCCTAGAACCATTTGAGTTTTGAATAGAGAAATCGGGATCTTCAGCTTTCAAGCCGTGCTTCTGACCTTGAAACACCTTTGGCGGTTTTCCTACACTGATTTGTTTGTGCTAGTTTAGCTGTGTCAAGCACGTTTCTACAACCAGTAATGGAGTTCACCGAGAAAAAAGTGCAGAGAACAGTAAAAAGTTATTTGCTGCTTCTTATTAAGCATACCATTGTGTTTCCTGTAACTAACAGACAAACGTTAACAGAGATCTCAAAAAGCGCCAACGATTCCAAATGGGGTAATTCATTGTTTGCCATGTGTAATTCAGACCTTTTAAGTGTATCAAGTGTGAGTGGATTCTGGTCATCGTGCCGCTTAATATTTACTGAGTTTAGTTTATATTCTTTTACTGTAGTTTCGGCTCAATAAAAGGATAACGGTCCACACAGCCACCCTAAAGTCAGGTGATCTCTATTGGCCAAAAATTTGACCACATGAGATGTCTAAGTTGACCACACTTGGAATAAAGTCAAACAAAAAACATTCTGTTTGACTCGCATTTACATCACTTATTTTTATACGCTATGCTTCAAACAACCCCGATTTCGTCCAGAGCTACCTGTTCCCGGCAGAAAGTCGCTACAAATATTAGCTGGTCTAGCCTGAGGTTAGAAGAATAATCGATTCGCGGATGCGTCTGTAAGCACGCTTCTCCTGCATTCGTGTGTATATGAAACAATCCCTCTGGTTTTGTGCACGCTTGTCCTAGCTGACCACATCGAAAAATTATTCTACAAGATGTGCTTGGTCATCCCTGATGGTTGGTAGGGGCGTAGATTTACCCAAACGTGCACATCGATTGTGGGCAAAAACGCGCAGCGTCAAACCATCGATTTGTGCAGCACTGTACAGTCACATTAGGAATGCGTTCAGTAAGGACGGATAGAAAAAGTCAGAACGGCACCAGGGAAACTGGGGATTGCATGTTGCGAAAGAACAAATGTGTTCCTGCTGTCAGGAAAAGTATGCATAAGCCTGTTCATTTTGGTTTTCATTAGTGGAAATCTTATTGCCATCAACAGTATTTGACACATTGGTGGCCATTTCTTCTCATCCCGATCCATGAACTTCATGCTCTCTAATCAACGAAGAGCTGAGGATTCAGACAATATGCTGTCTGAATTGAATATTCAGACTATCAAAATGCTTCCTACGTAATAACGTTGAAAGTGACTGTAGAAAGGGCAACGTATTAGACCACCTTTGTTTTTCGTGTGGATTGTTATGGGGTGATCTTGTCTAAAAACTTCAAGCGCTTTTACTCATCACGAAAGTCTGTGACTTGCCGGTTATACGTTAAACGTTTGTGCTTCTTGCTAGCAGAAGCCAGATTACTGGAAAGAAGATACTACACCATATATTGTAAATAATGGACGAACAAATACACTACAGGAGTGTGGTCAAAAATATCATGCTCGAAATATCGTGTGTTCGGTGACAGCGTTTCCAATTGTGAGTGATTAGATGGTATATATATGCAGCGTCATGAGAACTGGCAGTTTTTGTCAAATATTGATAATGAAACCAAGTTTGCGCGTAAAGCAACCTTTACGTTGCAAATTGAAAAAAGAAAATAGAATAGATACATTCCAAGAAGGCTTATTTATGACATCATAAACTTATTTCCAAAAACATAAATCTAAATTTTGCTACAGTATTATGTGTTATATATTGTGTATTTTATCATTAATGTAGTACACGCTGTTTTCATCAAAATATAGCAACATTTTTAAACAAAATCCGCTTTAAAATTTGGTCAGTTGGTTGCAATTGATTGTTATCATTCGAAAGTGCAACACTAGTCATTATTATTATTAAACGTTTGTCGCAATTTATTCATTGCTTCCAAATTAATGAATGAGCACTTTGTAATGCTGTGAAACTCTAGATATTATTATACTTTGTTTGTATGTTGTAGATTTTGTGAGTAAACCAAATAAGCGCTCACTCAGACGTGACTTATTTGACTAACTA